TTTCTAACTTGTTGGTACCATTGTTAGAGTTTGCAGTGACATTGCTAAATTTAGGTGATGTAGTACAGTAATTTCCACAGAATCCAATTAATACAGTAAAGTTTCTTGAGACTGTTGACTGATCTGTTAACATTCCTTTTCAGTTGTTTCAAATGCCAAATTAAATGCCTCAAGTGTTTACATATTTTGCTGTAGCATCATAGTAGTTCATCAAGTTAGATGTAAACACATTTCCTTTACTGGGTAATCGTCAAATACTAGTCAATAGATGCTTCTTAACCTGTAGGTTTGTTTTTTAGTTTCGTTTCTTTTCAGTACCGCTTATATTTGTTTATCACTAACTGTAGAGATTTCGTATTTCCAAATGGGTATATTTTACTAATATTCAGAGGAAAAAGAAAAAAAAAAAAATTACTAGGAGAAAACACAAAAAGATTTTCAAATGAGGAATATTTCAGTAAGGAAGGCTCTGAATACATTTTTGTTGGGGGGAAGGGTGGTAGAGGAGAGAGAGTGTTTTGCCAACCAGTTTTTAGCTCAAATTCTATCTAAGTTGTAGTTCGAATATTTTTATCTTCCGGACTATACATTCAACTTTTTGAGGACAGAAAGTATGTATACACGTGATACTATCATTACAGTGCTATCTGTGTATGAAGTAGATGCTCAGTAGGTTTTAACTTGTAGAATCATAAATATTAGCTCGGAGAGAACTATACAGCTGTTTGGAGTTTTTCTGATTTCTCTCGGTTTTATGGCTAAGGAAACTGAGGCACAGAGTTAAAGTGACCTTATACATTATCACTCTGGTGCGCAGAGTTGGGAACAAGGACCCGTGTTTTTTTGACCTGTCCGGTGCTCATTCGAATACTAACATCATTGTGATGAACTTTGTTATAGGATTGCATATGTGCTGCTTAGCTGTCAGCTTAATCAGGGGTAAAATCTGTCAAGCTGATTTTTTGGCATCTAATGGACCGTGTACCAATTGTATTTTGTGTGTATGTGTGGATTGCTTTTACTTCATAATCAGGGTACTTTATAATTTGGCATTATAAAAATCCGTTTTGTTTTAACTTTCCTAATTTTAAAACACTTTTTGTTTTAGTCTCTTTCCTAACTTGTTTGTACCATTGTTAGAGTTTGCAATGATATTGCTAAATTTAGGTAATTTGTCTCCAAGACAAATTTTAGAAGGATTTTACGTGTGTATTGGAACAATATTGCCAGCTATACAACCGAAATGGTTTTATTAGCAATCCTCAACTTGTCAAAGTTGTTATAGGTGCCTTCACGGAGACAAACCGTACTTTACATGAGAACCGTAGTGGACAGTTTATCGATAGCTTGTTCAGTGGTTTAGATGAACCAGAACAATCCAATAACAATTTTCCATTTGTTTCAAATTAAGATATTTCTTATGTCACCCAGTACACATGGCTTTTTTAGTTGATTCATCATGAACATGTTGCTTGAATTGGAACTCAGATGCCCCCAAACGGGTAGGGAAGAGGAGAAAAATGTTTTATATTATTGTACATATATTTTAAAATTTATAAAGTTGCTTTCTAAGAATTCATTTGGCAGTTTGGGAAAACTGTTATTTTGTGTAAAAGTTAGAAATTTTCTTCTTTGCTTATTCGCTTATTTTGCCGTAGTGTGAAAGTCAGTGAAGATATCTGTAGAAAGCGTTTTAAGAAACGTTGCAAAGTGTATTAGTGTTCTCTAAGGAGAGAAAAGTTATCCAAAGTATATGGTTTGTGTGATTCACTTCCATATATGATATGCTTTTAAAAGTATAATTCTCTTAAAAGGAACAGACTGACTTAATTTGAAGTGCAGAGCATTTTGTCTTGAACTTCCCTTCCACTTTAGTATTTTTCTTCTTCTGCAGACCCTGTTTAAAAGTTTGGTATAGCCCTATGCGTTTATTATGGCATGTATTGGTTTTACCTGTTTCTTGAAATCAGCAGATGCTGTAGAATTATATTATAGTTGCCCTTGACCATCATTGGGGCCCTGGTGGAGCAGTGGTTAAGTGTTTGGCTGCTAACCAAAAGGTCGACAGTTCGAATCCCCCAGCCACTCCTTGGGAACCCTATGGGACAGTTCTACTCTGTCCTACAGGGTCGCTATGAGTCATAACAGACTCAAGGGCAACGGGTTTGACCATCATAAGTATTTCAAGGTAGTAACATTCTGTTGTATTTGAATATTAGTTGTCTTTAATTAATTCAATTTGGTTAGCATATCGAAAAGTATATTTTAACATAATATTAATTATAGCAAGAGTTTATAGTTCAGAGAAAGTTGTATTATAGAATTACGTTGTAGCTTTTAACTTAAACATTATAAGAAATTATTACCGTTTGAATTTTGTTCTTATTTGTAAAAAGGAGAATGGCTGGAGTGCCTTTTAATTTTATGTCAATCTACATTTAGTTTCTGTTGTTATAATTTAGTATGTGATGCTATAGTTACATTTAGTTTTTAATTTATTTGAAGATATTGTGCTTTACTGGACTGTTTAGAACAAAACTTGACACTGAAAAAATGTTCAGAACTATTGGAAATGTTAACTACATATTTTTGAGAGTTCATATTATGATATTTGGTAGAAAGCACCCCAAACTGAATTGTAGGTACTCTGCCACTGACTTTGGGGAGACAATGTCATCCTGTTGGTCACAGTTCTCTTAGTTTCGAAATTGTGGATGCAGTAGCTTCTGCACAGATAGGTTTTTTAGAGTCAAATGAGGTGACATGTGAAAGCACTTTGATAACAGATTATAGATTTGTTATATATACTACGTGTTTTTGAGTAGATGAAATTTTTATGGATGTTAGATAAAGTTCAGTTATTAAAATTGAATGGTTGGTTGCGATAAGTAAATGAGTATTTTTTAAAAAAAATTCTTAAAAGTATCATTAAGAAAATATACTGTTCTTTTCTTTTTTTCTTCTATGAGTAAGTCTGAGCAGTGTTGATTTTTGTCTTTTTTAGGAGTTGAAACTTGACAGTCTCAATAAAAAGAGTTAAAAGACAACAATATTGAGAATCAACAACAACAACAAAAGCACCTACTGGGTGGGATTTGGTTCCTTGGTTTGGAGGTTTAGGGTCATGGTTTCATGCGACATCCAGTTAATTGACCTAATAACCTGTTTTGTGCTTCTGTTTTATTTGCGAGTTCATTGCGTAGTGCCTGGGGTTTTAAAGGCTTGCAAGCAGTCATCCAAGGCACAACAATTGGTGTCTATTTGCTTGAAGAAACAGGAAGAAAGAAAGTCAGGAATAGGAGAAGGAAATGGAATATGTGGCTAATTGCCTCCATGAACAACTGCCTCCTTTGCCATGAGACCAGAAGAACTGGATGGTGTCTGGCTACCATTACTGAACATTTTGATCAAAGATTCTGTAGGAGAATCTTTGATCAAAAGGGGGAAAGTGCAGAAGAGAATTTCAAATTCTCATGAACTCCAGACTTTCTGGACCCATGGAGGCTTGAGGAACCCCTGTAACCATTACCCTGAAATAATCTGTGAGCCTTGAATCAAAAGTATCCCCTGGTGCGTCTTTAAACTAAACAGTAGTTCAGTTTAATTAGTAAAGAATGTCTGCCTTGAGCATTGTGCTCCTTAAGAACTGTCTTTATGGGATCAAACTGACAACAGCAACTCGAAAGATTAGATTGGAAGCTTAGAGGGCAGTGAGTTAACCCTTTCAAGACTCAATTATCTTCTCCTTTGGATTTTTTGTTGATACTCTGTGTGTTCACTAATGAAGGCATGCTGATTAAAGAACCAATTCAGAATTTTTGTTACGAGTTATGGATATTGATACCAATGATCTGGCATCACATATGTCCCAGTGGCCTCTGGACGACATTAAGTCCTGCTGATATGGGTCAGTGATGAAATCGGGTTTCAATTTTATTTCTTGAAAACTTGCAAAAATGAGGTAAAAACATGAAGGCACTTGGCAATGACTGCACATCAGTTTTATTCCAGTCTCTTTCTTCTTAGCCTTTTTATTATTTTTCATGAAACTTGTCAAAACATGGTACAGTGCATTCTTCCTTACTGCGAAAGCAGTACGTACAACCCAAATAAATAAATAAAGCCAAGAGTTTTTTTTTTTTAATCTCAGGAAAATTACCACTACAGTACATTCTTCTTTACTGCCATAGCAGTACTTCTAGAGGCAAAACAAGTAAAACTAAAGGAAATTGAATCTCAGGAAAATTAGCACTACTAGGTATTCTTCATTATAACAAAAGCAGTACAAACAGCTAAGGAGCAGAAACAGCTGCCCTGAATACTACAGAACTGTTTACAGTGGTGCATTCCATCTGTTCTACGTGGAGAAGTAATGATTGAACCCTAAGATTGAAAGCAGGATAAGAATAACTTATAGGAGTTCCAATCTCTTGAAAAGTGCCACTGCAGTGTATTGTCCCTTATTGGAAAGGCATTATTTATTGAAGATTACAGTATTCAAAAGGTAGAAAAGAAGGGAGCCAGTAAAACTTGTGTCTTAGTCATCTATTGCTGCTATAACAGAACACCACAAGCAGATGGCTTCAACAAACAGAAACTTATTTTCTCACAGTTTAGTAGGCTAGAAGTCCAAATTCAGGGTGTCAGTTTAGCAGAAGGTTCTCTCTCTCTGTCAGCTCTGGAGGAAGGTCCTTGTCATCAATCTTCCCCTGGACTAAGAGCTTCTCTGCGCAGGAACCCTGGGTCCAAAGGATGCACTCTGCTCCTGGCACTGCTTTCTTGGTGGTATGAGGTCCCCAGTCTCTCTGCTCGCTTCTCTCTTTTATATCTCAAAAGAGATTGGCTTAAGACACTATCTAATCTTGTAGACCTCATCAGTATAACTGCCTTTAATCCATCCTATTACATCATAGTGACAGAGTTTACAACACATAAGGAAATCACATCAGATTACAAAATGGTACACAACCATACAATACTGGGAATCGTGACCTAGCCAAGTTGACGTATTTTTAGGGGGCACAATTCAATCCATGACAACCTGGAAACAATGACTGGCATAAAGGAGAAAATGGCCACTATGACTGAATGAAGACTGGTAATAGCTTATTCTCACCATAAGTACATTCTCACGAGAACATAGTAAAAGGGAAACCTAGTGAGGAGGTTTATCTCACAGAAATTAAGGCAAACCTGTCAAAACCTGTCGAAATTTTAGAAAATTCACACACCTGGGAGGCATCACCTAAGACAATGCTTGATCTATACAAAAATGAGGTTCCCACTCAGGATTTTTGAGTTTTATGCATTTCAAAAGTTTCCTACCTTGAGGCTAAATGTGTTAAAATTGGGCTACCCCCTTTCCAAAGACCTCCAGAGGCATAAAAAGTAGATGATATACTGTTTGTCCCACAGGTCTTGAAATGGTTAATGTTAATGTGGGAGGGACAGTTTGGAAAAGGACGGTGAGAGTGGTGGCACAGCTTGAAGAACATAGCGTCACTGAATTGTACATGTAGAATTGTTGAATTGGTGCATGTTCTGCTGTGTATATTCTCAGCAACAACAACAACAAAAATAATAGCAAAGAGTCAAAAGAATTGAAGGAAAAGATAATGTGTTCTAGTCCTTGCAGTTAGTGGAGATCTATAGGAAACGTTAATGAATGCAGAAGACTATTTATTGTTATTTTAATTATTTAATACAGGTGCTTCCATAATCCTTAAATTCAGTTTTGTCTTTAAGATGTTTTAATACCATTCTCTCTGTTGACTTACAGTATTAGTTTGCTTCACCTGTTCTTTAATAGTTTTGGAAAGCTGCATCTACCTTCCTTCATTCATCCACTCATTCATTCCAATTTGTTAAACGTCCCCTATGTGCCAAGCATTGTCAGATTACCTGCCTAAATTGTAATGAGATTGAATAAGGTAAAATATGTGAAAGTGTTTTGTAAACTGTAAAATGACATTGAGATACAGTTATTATTATCAAATTCTCAAATAGTTCTTAATGAAGGTACTTTTAGTGTAACTGCTTTGTGTGACTTCTAAATCAAATTTACCAAGAATTTTGTGTGAAACTTTTTATAAAAGTGGAAAAAAATTAGATTATCCAACATTGAAATATTTAATGGCATAAGCTTCAAAGAAAAATAAATTAATTTTCTTATAGCTCATTGGCTAGCATATAATTGTAGAGAAGTTAGGACTGTGGGAGGAGGTGAAATTCACTCTGCCCTAGGAAGCAAATTACAAACCTAATGTCTAACTTATCATTTTGCAGGTTAGTGTTTTTAGTAATATGAAAGACTGAGTGGGAGACTGTAGATGACTTGGGGCACCTGAGTTGAAAAGAGTAGTGTAGTTATGCAGTTCATCCATCCATTTTTCTGGATATCTAAAACTTATGCTTGCGTTCCTGGACCACTGAGGACCAGTATATCCAGACCATATTTTTTGGTCCTCTTCTATGGAAGTTGTTTAATTAATTCAAATGTATGTCGGCATTTTACTTTTTTGGTGGAGAGGGACAATAAGAAATAGCTCTGAAACACATTGCTCTATATATGCGAGGATGTTTTTGAGGACTTTGTTTATTACACTATAAGCTATCTTATGAAGACTCATGGAATAAATTTCTGATCTTTATCCCAGAGGAGTTGCATTCCTTCTGAGTAACTCTTTTTAAAAAATTTATGGGTACTGTAAAAATGGAAACTGATTGTATCATTCTTACTTGCATTGCCTTTCTGAAAGCTTTGTGCCAAATTTGTGGCCCTCCTTTCACAACTATGTAGACTCTTAACTCTAGCTTCTTTTTACTTAAGGCAGTATAGTTTTGGAGTTACCAATGCAGGCTTGGGGTCGGATAGGCAGGGTTCATATCTTGGCTCCATCTTTTATTAGCTGTGTTCAAATTGGGCAAGCTGCTTAATCTCTGCAAGCCTCAATTTCCCTGTCTGTAAAATGGAGTTAATAGTACCCTCTTAGAGTTGTTAAAATAACCTGAAAATAATAGATCTAAGCACCTATATCAGTCCTTGACACTTCTTGAATACTCAGTATTTTTTCCACTTTCATATTCCCTTTGTTTCACTTTGTCTACTTAAATAATTGATTTTATAGTGTGTATTTATTGTAATCTACCTGAAATATTTCTTGGAACAAGGCAGAGTAAGAATACATAAATGTTGGTTTCTTGGCCCATTGTATTTTACATAAAATATAGCAGTTAAAAGCATTCATAATTGCTTTGCCAAAACTATTTCTGAAATTACAGGGATTTTGAAAATAGGCATACATGCAGATTTGCTTTTAGGCCACTTAACTTTTGTCTCAAACATACATCACCCTACAGATTTTCTCTATTATACGTGTAGGTGTGACAGTGGTTTTCTTAAGACATTTTTGTTGCAACCTCTTATGGTAAAAGTTTCGCTATCATTTGAAATCCATCACAAGACCAGGGAAGTGCATTCATTATAGAACTATTTAATAAATAAGTTCTCCAGTTTGAAGAGCTAGACTTTTATGTGAGGTCAGGCCAGTTGAAGACATTTACAAAGAATTAGTTGTTTGTTATTGCTATGTGAGTTGCAAGAATGGAAAAAAAAAAAGAAATTCTTTCTTCAATACTTCCTTCCAGGCTGAGTCATCACTAGAGAGTGGGAAGGGCCGCAGCAGCAGAGAATCCAAACCCCAAAGCTGAGATCACAAAGTACCGTTTCTCCAAGTTGGGGCTCAGAGGGGAGCCATCATGAGCGATGTTACCATTGTGAAAGAAGGTTGGGTTCAGAAGAGGGGTAAGTGCTCCAGGAAACCAAAAACCACATGGTTGCTGAGAGTGCTGAACTGTTAGTGGTGTGCTGGAAATGGATGTTTTTTGTTTGTTTGTTGCTTTTTGATGCTGTTAACAAAGTCAGTTGTGGCATGCTATGTTCAGTAAAAGCAAAATGATATTTAACATATGTATTAGGAATTTGCATGTTATTTAGGAATTTCTTTGTACTTCTTGATTTTAATAATTTATAATGTAGTTGTGAAGTCAGGTTTGCCTTTGTTGTGTGTTGTGTGCATTCATGTTGCAGAAAGTTAATGTGGCATTTATCTGCATTTCTGCAAGGCAGAGCGGTATCTTAAAAACTGATTTAATGTCTAGAAAAGTGTCCTGTATGCATTTAAAATCATGTAAATATATAAATAAAAGTATTCAATTAAGCTGATTTGGGTGGTGTCAAGGGAAGGGCTTAAAGTAGTAAAGGGGGAAGGAGTCACCCACAAATTTATGGATTAAACTATCTCATAAATTAGGTAAGTAAAGTCCTAAAATAGAAGACCTGATGATAAAAAGGGTTTTTTTTTTAAAATTTATACTTAATTTCATAATTTTATTTCTCATAATCTAGTATTTCTCGTTCACTCTTTAGATAATTCAGATGCATCTTTTTTTTAATTAAAGGAAGAACATTTCAATATACAGCTTTGTTTATACTCTTGTGAGATCACCTGCTTATGTGGTCATCAATGTGTTTATTAGAAATCTAGAGTTTAGATCGGTGCACTAACAAATTTCTTTACCCACATGGCCAAGTTGAGTAGGAGGAGGACTACTCCATTTTCAGAATTTTTTAGTTCCTCTATATCTATTGTCTGGTTAAAGGTTACCTCTTAGATATCGATTTTAGTATTATTTGAAGGTCTGTACTTAATACCTGTGCTGAAAAGTTGTTGTCAGTAGTTAAGTGTGATTATGTATTACTGAGTTTTTAAAAATCAGCTTTATAGAGGTATAATTTACATACAATATAATTGACCAGTTTTAAGTGTGCAGTTTGATGAATTTTGACAAATGTAAAAACAGTTGTGCAACCGATATTACAGTTACATAGAGTACTCTCATCACCCACAAAAATTCCTTTGGTTCCCTTTTTAGTCAGTCCTCTTCCCTCAGCCCTAGCAACTGCTAATCTGCTTTCTGTTACTACAGTTTTATTTTACTAGAATTTCATATAAATGGACTCATCCAGTACAGAGTCTTTTGTGTCTCTTGTCTTTCACCTAGTGTGATACTTTCATGGTTTATCCATGTTGTTGTGTAGGTAAGTCGTTTGTTCTTTCATTGTTGAGTAGTATTCCATTATCTGGATATACCACAGTTTATTTCTTTACCAGTTGATGGTTATTTGGGTTGTTTCCAGTTTTTGACTGTTATGAATAAAGCTGCTATGAACTTCCGATTACATATTTTTGTGTGCTGATATGTTTTCATTTTTCTTGGTAATTGCCTAGAGATGAGATGCTGGGTTGTATGGTAAGTGTTACGTTTAACTTTATGAGAAGTGTGTATTTAAATTTATGAGAACTACCAAACTGTATTCCAAAGTGGCTGACCATTTGTATTGTTAAGTTTTGATTCTTTTGTGTACTATCAGACATTTGGAAAACATTTTCAGATTTCAGTGATGTGTGAAGTTTGTTGTGGTGGTGTTTATTTTTTAATTTGTCTATATTATTTTTCCTACTTTTTTTTGTGGGGGGTGGTAAATCACTTAAACCTTTTGGAGTTTAACTGTACTGATTTCTGCTCTCACATGATTGTAGTGAGGATTAAATGAGATAATGGGTGTGAATGTGCTTTGACAATTCAAACGCAAATGTAAGCTATTCCTGTCTCCACATTTTACCCAGCGATTAGGGTGGCTCTTGAGTCTGTTTGATTAATTGTGACTGCACTGCAATACCATAACAGAAGGTTGGTATATAGTGCATGGAATGTAGGAAAAGGCATACATGAATAAGAATTTTTTAGTGGGTTTCCCACACTGGTCAGGGCAGAGGGAGACTAATGACTGTGTGTGTGTGTGTGTGTGTGTGTGTGTGTGTATTTAGAGAAGTAATGGCGATATAAAAAATAAAAATATGAATAGTCCACAAAAGTATAGAATGGCAAGTAAAAAATCTTTCTGCTGTCTGCCTCTTCCCATTAGTTTCAGTCTTCAAAGGTAACTATTTTAGACATTTTCCATTTTTAATTCTTTTGCTGATTATTATCTAATTTATATATAATTTTACATGTAATATTCTAAACTTTATTTTTTGACTAATCAGTCTTAAGTAATCGAGTGTTTCCCCATTGTGAACAATGAAGAATTTAACTCTTATTACCTATTCTGCTTTCTCTTTTCTCACTGTCTTTGTTAGGTATATTTTTATTTTTAGGTTTTTTTTTTGCGTTATAGTTACAACTCTAGTTCTTGAAGACTTAACTTTAGAAAGTAATGAGATATCATCTCTAAACATTTCACTTTGTACCTTGAAGAAGTCAGTTCCTGTCACCATCTCTACCTTGAATTCCTCACATTCGCTTGCCAATTTATATTAGCTATAACATTCATTTAGTATTGACAAGGTTTAGCATAGTTGTATTTGTTGATTCTGAAACAAACATAAACAATATTATGATTATGTAAATAATACTCACTGCTAAACAAAGTATTATGATGGGGTCCATGATGGATTTCTTACACTGGATTGGTACTCAAGATCAACACATACCTTAGTTTGGCTTCTAGTTTGGACCATGACTTTGTTTTTCTTAGATTTTCTTAATTCGTTTTTTTCCCTGTTGGTAGAAGAGTATATGTCTCTTCATCATATCACTTGGTTATCTAGCTTTTTAATTATACTATTTCTTGAAGCTCTAATATAAACTGATTTCTTTCTGGGTCTGATGCACGGTTAATATCATGCTATTTAATTGCATTCTTGGACAAGCTCTATGCTTTCTTAGATCTCATGTCTGTCTTCTTTTTGTTCTGGATTTCTTTTACAGTTTTTTACAGTACTTAAGTAATTTTTTTAGGAAGAATGTGTGTGGGTACTTGTCAACACAATTTTTGAAATTATCTTTTCCACTTTCATACCAGTTGATACTGTGGCTGGGTATAGAATTCAGGTTTAAAACAATTTTCCCTCAAAACTTTGAAGATTACATTCCATTGCCTTTTAGTACCCAGTTTTATTATAAGTTGATACTAATATGAATTATTTCTTTGTAAATAACCTGTTTTTTTTTTTTTCCCCTCTGTAAGCTGTTTATATTGACGTCTCTTTGTCCTTGGTATTCTGAAGTTTAAGGAGGATGAGTTATATTTCTTTTGTTATTCATATGGTAAAGCATTTGCTGGGCCCTTTGAATATGAATAGCTTTCTCAGTTCTGGGAAATCTATATTTCTTTGATTATTTCTTCTCTTTCACATTTTTATACTCCCCCCCCCCGCCCCTGGAGCTTCCGTATTAGTCTCTGTTTCTTAATTTTTCTTTCATTTTCCATGTATTTGGTTTTTTTTCCTATGTTCTAGAAGATTTCCTTGACTTTTGTCATCCAGTCCTTTATCAAATTTCTTATTTCAGCTGTTACTTTATACTTTAGGGAACTCTTCCAAGTTCATGGGGTCCCTGGGTGGTACAAATGGTTAATACTCTTTGCTGCTGACCCTAAGGTGGGTGGTTCAGGTCCACCCAGAGGTAATTTGGAAGAAAGGACTGGTGATCTCTTTCTGAAAATCAGGCAGTGAAACCCCTGCGGAGCACAGTTCTACTCTGACACATATGGCGTTGCCATAAGTCAGAATAGACGCAATGACAACTTTTTTTAAGTTCATAACCGCCTGCTCTTATTTTATAGATGCAATATAGTCTTGAGTCTCAGGACACTAATTAGATTTTATTTTTAAGTTTTTTTTCTCTTACTTGAGAGGAGAGTTTGTTTATTTTGATTGTTTTTTGGTAGTGTTTTTTTCAGGTGTCTGATGATCTCTCTTTGTCTGTTTATACTTACAAATGAAGTATTGGGTTTACTGGTAGTTTCATCTACTGTTTTGTAGGTCTTGCTACCAGCTCTGTGTACCCTCTTAATCTATTTTTGCACTTTACTGTTTCGCTCTATATTTATGACAAGTAGTTTTTCACTTAGTAAATGAGGATTTGTGATGGTAATATTTATGATAATATTTAACCATACTCTTGAAAGCATTAATTGAAATAGTAGGGAGAAACCTAATTTGGCATTTTTTTTCCTCCAGCATCCTTAATTTATTCCTTTTGAGATTTTCAGTATTATTTTAATGATTCTAGGTTGCGGTCAAGTAAATTTCAATATATGCCAAATGTTGCATGACTATATTTTGTTTCAAAGAATTTTCTCTTAAAAGAGCATTATTACTTACTGCCTGTGTACCCTGGGCCGGTTATTGTGTACTCTTTTGAAAAGAAATATGATAATATGTGCCTTCTGTACCTCATAGTACGGTTTAGATAATGTGTCTAGGAGTGTTTCTAAACTATAATCTACTTTATCAATAGAAGGTATTAATGTAAAAAAATTATAATGTAACCCTTAGTTTGAATATTAGTCTTTTTTCTTAAAACCTGTATTTATGAATGAGTTCTTGATAGCTCCTTTTCAGATATAATGTCATTTTATTTGTACTTCTAATGTGAATAAGGTGCTTCTCTGTAAATATCATCCTGGAAAAGAAAGGATTTAAAGATAAATATTGATATTGTGTAGAATATAACCTTGGTTATCAGTGATATATGAATAGTGAAACCTTTACTCCGTACTTGCCTGGAGCGTTTGAAAAATGACAAGCATTAATTAAGATAACACATTATAGCATAGTATTGTTGGTGTTAGAAATGACAGTGAATGAAACTTCATGTAGCCAGGATGGAGTAAGGTATTTTCCTGGATTTTCCTCCGTGATGGACTTAGGTGAGCAACTCACAGCTTGGCTGCAC